AAAATATCTACTTATATCAACCTTATTTCTTGTCTTAGAGATGAGACATAAGTTTATGAACTGGAGGAGGTAGATGCAGATTTCCTTCCTTTCCCTACTCTCCCTCAATCCTTCTGTCCTCCCTCCCTCCCTCCCTCCCTCCCTCCCTTCCTTCCTTCCTTCCTTCCTTCCTTCCTTCCTTCCTTCCTTTTCATTAAGCACAATGCCATTTACCTTACAAGAAATCTGATGGAATTTAATCTACAACATGGTTCCAGACCGGAAGTACAGCTGCACAGCAGAAAGGGGGCAATAGGGTGGGGGTATTTTATAACACACAAAACAGGCAGGACTGCTCTGGACAGAAGATAATGCAAACTAGCTTTGCTGGAAATGAGCTGCAAAATACCTTCATTTTCTACTACAGTGAAACCCTGATAAAATCACAACTGTTAAGGTCATACAGTATATCAGGTGGAATCACAGTCTTTAGAACTCCATTATTAATGCAGACAACCTCACAATCAAAGAGGATGAGAGCACAGTTTCCAGATGCCAATGATTTGATCCTATCTTATTTGGCTGTTTACATTTAAATAATGTGACTGTATAAATTTAAATAATATAAACCACCAACAGATGGATCCCAGTAAAAAACTGCACCTTCACTGAGACCCTGAATGTACACTATACAGGGCTTTACAATTTATTTGAGCAGAGCTCATATTTAAAAAAAAAAAATGGGGAGGGGGACAAAAAGAGAGAGAGAGACTCATTTCTTCTGCCATTATGGAAATAAAAGGACAGCCGCTTTAGTTCCTGGCTGACTGTGCCAAGGAAACATGCAGTTCTCTAACCTCTGGTACAATGTACCCATAAGGTAGCAAGCATCAAAGCATATTAAAAGATATTAACTGCATATTTGCTTATGAACAAGATAAAAAGCTGTAGGGCCTCCAGGTTCTCAAGCTGTGAGTGGAACAGCTTTGCAATTTGCCTGCAAAACTGCATTTTGATCTTAATGAATATAAAATGGCTGCCATTAAAAGTAAAACAGATTATTTCGGGTCTTCCAGGGCCCATAGCTCTTTGCCGGCCTTGGAGGGCCACTATGATCTTTCATTAAAATCTCACAGCAGGGCTCCCTCACCAGCAAATCAAGCCTTGCAGTCTAGGAGATTGGCTACATTTAAAAGTAATTTTCAGAAATCTACACAGATTTTCAATTTGGTAATGAAAGCCATAAGAGAATGCAGGCGGCATTTTGTCGAATATTGTTACTGATCCAGCGCTCACATTCGTTAGAAATTAAACTGCCCCGTAACTATCGCACTGATGGCAGCTTGCCATTTCGGCTGCGTTCTAATCTCCGTTTGTTAATGAGTAGCATGTGCTAATTGTTGTCATCCTTACCGCCAAGCGGTCCTTCCCCAACAAACATATTTTACCTGCTCAGACGTGGAACCTTTCACTTTGTCACAGACCAAGTTGGAAGGGAGTGTTGGAGTCGCTGGTGCTTTTCATGGAGACAGGGAGGAGGCATCCTTAGCTGATGGGAAAGGAACAACATCTGAGAATGGTGCTTGTATTGCATCTGGACTTGGCCTTTGTTTTTCAGTCAAGCCTAAGTTTTATCTAAGTCCGGAAATGGGCAAAATGTGAACTTTCACGTTGTTCCTAAGAACAACAAACTCTGCGCACAAGGTTAGGCCAGATCAAGTGAAGTTTAAAATGAGGGAGGGGTTGATGGTTGGGAGGGAGGAGAGACTGGAAAATTCAACTGGGCAGAAGTGCTAGCTAAGGCAGGGAAGAGAGTGCACCTAGAACCCCACAGGGATGTGGGACTGCCACAGGCTCACAAAGCTGAGTTTCCCTCTTTGCATTCCCTGGTTCAAAAGCCTTGGGGACAGGGGTTATGTCACCCTCAAGAGGAAAGTACTAGGGGAACAGGCAGATGCTCGCACAGTACCATGGTTCCTGAGGAGAGAGGGTACAGAGAGGGAAAAAAAGAATAAATTCAGCATTGTGATATGTTATGCTGGCAAATATCTGAATAAAGAAAATTATATAAAATAATTATCAATGAAAACATGATTAAATAAGAAAAAAATTCACATAAATGCATTCTGAGTCAGAGTGGTTTTTTTTTTTTTTCTTTATGGGTCCCTCTACTTGATATAAGAACTGAGGAAAGTTATCTTTCTGAGATTCTAGAAACAAAAATGTCAGATTATGCTTTCCTTTTGGAAAATGCATTCAATAAATTTTCTTTACCCAGCAATTCTCTTTACCTGGCACCTTTAGGGCAAAGCTCTTCCCTGCACTAAAATGTGACGAACAACAAGAGCTGCTCTCTAGTCTCTCGCTGACTGGATATAAATTCTTCCCGCTGATACAGAAAGAGTCTCCATTTAAAATAGCAATTCTCCTTGGCAGAGAGCTGGCAGCCAAGAGGGAGAATATATGCAAAATATATGTTTATTTTCAGGGGGCCAAAGCAGGCAACTTGTGGCTCAGCATGAAGTATCTTTTAGTTTCTAGAATACCTGAGGTTCCTTGGCCTGTCTGGGCACCTTTCCTTAGGTTTCCACAAAGTACAGTTTTAATAGGGGGTATGTCTATGATTTTAAGGAAATGACACAGGAACGCCTAATAAGGTGCCACTGCTAATGTGCATTAGTATTTGAAGAGAAAATTAAGGCCGATTCCTTGTCTCAGTGGCCTCAGGAGACCAACGGGAAATAGATGCAAACAACTTGGTAAGCAGTTTTGAATCCATTCCACCTGTAGTTGAGATTCTAATTGCAGGTTCATTCATGTAACATGTTAGGATTTTAAACGCCCAAAGTGACATTATAAGAAATTCTGCTGAATCCTCCTAAACTCAGAAGGCTGAGGAGGCTTCTTCTTCTTTTTTTAACCTGTCATCAGTTGTTCTAATATTCTGCTGAGAGCTTCCAGGTTCACTTTGACAACTGTATACCCATAAAGTCTCTTGTATCATTATTTTGGTGTGTGCTAAAATGTGGGCAGGGTGATGGTACATCACTGATTTGGACTCTCAATTTTTAGAATATGACAGACATTAATATCCCTTTAATTATTACAGATGGAAAAAAACTGGACTTAATGTAATTATTCTTCTAATAATCAAGTTAAGTTTTATTATTTATAATAATGTTTAATTGTTTATTTGTCTTGTTTTAGAAACAACTCTATGGAAACAAGTATTGTCCTCATTTTGACTCTCTATTAATTCTCTATTAATTCTGTTAGAAAATACACATATGCACATAGAGATGAAGTGGAGGACTTTATAAAAAATAAATCACATGAAAAATAAAAATAAAAACTGCATGACCTTATAAAGGGGCTTAATGAAAATTTTCAAAAAATATTTTTATTACCTTATGTACTTTTTTTTTACTCTATCTCTATTTTGGACATTGCAGATAAGACATTCTTTGTTTTAAATCATAATTAATTATTAAACTAAATATTGATTCTAATACAAAATTTGGGGGAGGTGGAAATGTATAGCAATGACTTACAAAAACACATCTACTATACACACTTATGAGTCCATTTTTAAATGTAGAACTTTAAGAGTTCAAGGCCTATATAAAATTTCTCTTGTAAAGAACTTTTAGAATATTAAAGTTTCTGTTTTGTCAAGTGAAATTTTTATTTTATTGTTTTGGCAAGAAAATATACTAAATAGTATGCTAAATCTCATGACTTGTTTAAAATATAGTATTCTAGTACATAGCAATACTTCTGTATTTACTCAACAAACCTCATAGACTCAGCCCTCAAGGGACAAATGTATTTAATTCTAAAAGTTAATTGGTAAATTGCTTTGGAATTTGTAATTAATTTTTCCTTAGAAACATTACTTAAACAACAGTTTGGTTCCAGGGCAAGCCCATAAGAATCAAATTTGTCATCATGTAGCTGAGCTAAAATCCAAATGGCCTCAGCCTGTGCTTTTCCTCCAGGAAACAGGAAACATGAGATTCAAGGTGAGTGAATTCTGAGATAAATGGATCAGGAGAAGGAGAAGGAAGATGTTGAGAGGAGCATGGTTTCCTTTTCTCCTGTTTAGAGCCGGAGCTCTCCATGCTATATAGTGAGACTCAGGCCTAGACCCAGACATCTCTGGTCCCACAGTGCCCCAAACTCCCTTCACCTCCTGATCCATGGCTGCACAAATTCAGTCCTTTAGCCCTTCATAATCAACTATGTCTCACCTATCCTCCCAGCCGTCTAATCACATTCCAACTAATTTCACCAAATATTGGAGGAATGAGGAGCATAGGCGGGTGGGATGCAATGAGGAAGTCACACTTCCAAGGAAGCACTTCTTTTCTGATTCCGAAGAAAGTTCAGCAGCTGAATGTTCTGTATATAACCCATGCAGGAGTCTGGTTCAGGGCAGTGGTTCATGGCTACCACCACAACTCAGGAGCTGATGCTTAGGAGTCAGAGCACAGAGGATCCTGCTGAGGATTTCTTCTGCATGTGTCCTCTTACCTGAAGCCCTCAACAGTGAGCATGTTGTAAATGCAGGATGAACTTCTGTCTTAACCAAAAGGTAAATACTCTTGATGAGTGTCAACTTATTAGAAAGGATGAATGTTTTACAAATGAAATTTAAAGAAAACAGAACCGAACAAAAATACAGAAGGAAAAAAAAAACTATATTTGAAGAGCCAGAGATAAATCGGATCTGGTATCAAGAGTGTAAAAAGAGGAAACTGTAGATTGGTGGGGTAGTATACTGGAAGGGGAGATACTTCTGTGGATAGTGACAAGATACTTCTATAAAGGCAGTGACAACTTCCCTCTTATTCAACAGAGAATAGGAAAAACTCTCAGGACAGTCACATTGGATGAGCTTTAACATCTTTTCCAGGAAATAGAAGAGAGAAGGAGTGGTTGGCACCTGACCAAGTTCATAGGATCATGTTTATGAGACTAAAGGGATATAAATTTTCCTGGGACATAAATGTAATATGGATGGAAAGATAATGCTCTCCTCTATGATTACATATTACAATTGATGTTGTCTCTATGAGACATGGTCACTGGTCATCAAGAGGCAGGGAGATACAAGCAAGCTGTTCAAAGGCCTGGGCACTAGGGTAGAGGCATCTGTCTTTCATATTGGTTGAGAATGCAAGCAAGCTTTGGGAAATATTTGTGTGGTGCAAAGCAGATTTGGGTTTTTGAAGTATGGCGCCAAGTGGTAGAAAGAGAATCTTCTGCACAGGGTGAAGTGGTTTTTTTGAAGATAGGAAAATGTGTTGTCTCCAAAAATACCCAAACTAAGCAAACTGCTTAAACATGGAAGCCAAACAGACAAAAACTAAAAAGCTTTCAGATAGGATCCTGGGCTACAGTGTGATATAGAAGGTAACATATTTTAAATGGGTTGATGAGTATTTTTCAACAAAGAACACAGGAAAGACAGGCAGAAACCATGTATTCATCCTATTGTTCATATGTAACAATTAGCAGACTATGAATAATATAATGAATATATAATTTAACTTTGCCCAAAGAGTGTGATTTGGTGGGTGAGCTAAAAATGATAAGGAATTTGGAAGGAAGTGACATGTCATTTTAGATTTTGTTATGTTTCACAGGAAAAAAAAATTTGGACATAGGCATTTATCCTAGAATTTAGGAAAGCAGGCATCAAAATAGAGAAATTATAGAGATGGTCCCATGACTAAAACATTTTAAAGGGAAAATAAGCCTATTTTTAAAATTCTGACAAAATAATCACAGATTATTTCAGAGGCACATATAAAAAAAAACAATATAACATGAAAGGAACATTCTTTTTCCCTTTTTAAAGCTATTGAATCAGAATATAAAAGGACATGTGCCCAAAATGGGAGGCTGAAAACATCGTAGGAGCCAATATAGAAAAGTGCAGTAAGAAGATTGTCAAGGGGGTTAAAGCCTGACTATAGGCTGAAAAACTGCCAAGGACAACAGAAAGCTATTTTAAGCTCTGTTTGTAAAGAAGAACAAAGGGATAGGTACATTGATTGGGGCACACAGCAAAATGTTAACAGATGTCGCAGAGAAAACAGAACTATTCAACTCCTATTTTGATTCTATGGTCTCTATCAAGAAGAATGATCTTCAAACCGGAGAGGGCAGAGCAAATAGTTAAGAGGGAACCAAGGTCCAAGATAAGTCAAGACACACTAAGGTATTACCTGGTTGCTTTAAACAGGTTCAAGGCTCCAGGCCAGACCAATTATCTCAGGTTACTGAGAAAACCTAAAAAAATGTTCCAGATGTGACGGTGGTGGAAATCCTCCCAATATTTTTTTTAGAATCATGGTCTAACATGGTCTAATCAGGCCTGACCAGGGATTCACGTGGGCTCTAGGAGAAAAAAAAAAAAAAAAAACCTTTTCTTTGGGGAAAAACAGAAAAGTATCCAGAGACAAATCCCCAGGAACTGCTACAACTGATTATCACACACATGAGTTGTTTGTGTTAAGAAGCAGCAATCACTGTCAGTTAGCA